ATCAAAGGCGACCTTCGTCGAGAGATGGCCATGTTCGCTAAGGCCCCACTTCAAGGAGCACGACAGCTTGGCAAGGAGACCAAACTCCGGCACGCCAAAAGCTTCAAGAAAGACAAGAACAAGAACAACCTCTCGGAGCGCCACATGACTCCTGATGAGCGAGCAGCCTTCAAAGCTGCAAAGGTCAAAGAGTTGCAATCCTTCTTTGACAACCACGTCTGGCAGTTCGAGACCACCAGAGAAGCTGAGCCCAGTCGGACGCTGACCAGTCGCATGCTGCTGAAGTGGTCAAAGAATCCTGATGGCAGCCCCCGTGCCAAAGCCAGGCTCATTGTCAGAGGCTTCATGGACCCAGACGCTTGGGAAGGAACTGTTCCAACCTCATCGCCCACAACCACGAGGCTGTCGAGATCCATGTTGTTGAGTTTGGCCTCCACCATGCAGTGGCCAATCTGGACTTCAGACATAGCAACCGCCTTCCTGCAGGGTCGACCTCAGACACGCAAGTTGTGGGTGCAGCTTCCTCAAGAGTGTTTGCAGTTGCTTGGAGCCACAGCTGACACCCGTATGTTGCTTCTCAAGCCCTGCTACGGCCAGATCGATGCCCCGAGATCTTGGTTCATGGCTGCAGTTGATAAGCTAAGCGCTATGGGCCTCCGACAGCATCCTCAAGACCCTTGCTGCTTCTTGATCTATGAAGGTGACCTCAACCCTGAGTATGACACCACAACTGAGCACTCCAACCTGCTTGGACCTCATGGCCTATGTGGTATGGTCATCATGCACGTCGATGACATGCTTGGTTGCGGTTCGCCATCCTCCCAGTGCTACAACGACACCATCACCAAGCTGAAGAGCACCTTCAACTTCCGTGAATGGAAAACTGGTGATGATGGAAAGCCCTTGACCTATTGTGGTTGTGACATTCAGGTCAAGGATGATGGTCTCCTCCTCAACCAGACCAGCTACATGGGAAAGGTGAAACCGATCACCTACGACAAGAAGCGCAGCCTCACCGATGCGCTCAATCAGCGTGAGTTGACACAGCTGAGAGGACTTCTTGGTTCACTTCAATGGCCCGCAGTTCAAAGCAGTCCTCACTTGCAGAGCAGCACCTCGATCCTGAGCGGTCATGTCACCAAGGCCACGCTTCAGACAGTGGCCGACACAAATCGCCTGCTGCGTTTTGCAAAAGAAAATGCTGATGTTGGCCTACAGTACAGCCACCTGGGCGAAGTTTCAGAACTTTGTTTGGTATGTTTTTTTGATGCTGCCTTTGCCACCCGCAGTGACGGAGCCTCACAAGCTGGCTATGTGATCCTGATGGTCAACAAAGCTTTGCTTCAGGCCAATGGTCCCGAAGGAGCCTACCACGTGTTGGATTGGCGCAGTTTGAAAACGCCAAGAGTTGCACGCTCTTCCTTGGGCGCCGAAGCACAAAGCGGTGGTCAAGCTTGCGATGCCTTGGAGCATGCCAGCATCTACTGGAGCTTGTTGGTTGACCCTCGCCAGCGACTCCAAGAGCTCTTGGACGCTCCATCCTTGTTGTCACCCACCATGATCACGGACGCCAAAGCCCTTTACGACTCCTATCACCGAGAAGGAGTCGGAAGCTCTGTGGTTGACAAGCGAGTTTCGCTTGAGATCCGTGTGATGAAGGATCGCCTGTCTTCACTGGGCGGTTCTTTGAGGTGGATGTCATCGGAGCGCCAACTGGCTGACGGTTTGACAAAAGAGTCGGCCAGAGCACTTCTTGCACAACGGCTACGTCACGGTCGTTTGAAGCTTGTTTGGGACCCCTCATACAAAGCTGCCAAGAAGAAGACAAAAGCTGAGCTCCAACAGAGTCTTGCTGAAAGCATCCATGTGGTACCACCACATGTGATCAATGAGGAACCTGAAAGCATCCATGTGGTACCACCACATGTGATCAATGAGGAACCCGAAAGCATCCATGTGGTACCACCACATGTGATCAATGAGGAACCCAACCTCCACGAGGAGCACCAGCAGCCCATCGACGAGAATCCTGCGGAGAATGACGTGAATGTCGATGAGCAGGTGTTTTGGAATGAAGAGATTTTTTCGGAATTCCAAGGTTCCTGTGAATGTCATGTTTGCCAGGACCGACCGGAAGCTTGAGTATGTCTCCGACAGTCCGAGCCATGTCGGAAGCCGCCCGCTCGAGTCCTACCGCGGTCGTAAGACGAATTTCCTGTTTTGGTTTTTGCTTTTGTTCATGGCCCCGCAGCTGGTCACGGCCGATTCGGCCAATGTGGAACCTGAAGCTGGAATGGATTGGTTTGGAACTGTTTTGCGCACCCTCCTTCTACTTTTTTTGAGCACAGCCTTCATGGTTGGTCGATGGAGCCATGATGCACACCACCGAGTACCACCCCAGGTCACTGAGGCTGCAGTCCAAAAGGATGAAGCGATCATCCCAGCTCGCCTTAGAGAAGAAGTCAAACGCCTGAAGCAGGAAGTCCTCCGCTGGAGTTCCAAAGCCGAGGAGTCCCGCCTTGCTGCTGTCGAAGCCACGACAGCGATGAATCTGGTTCGGAGAAACCAGAATGCTGCTGAGACCCTTGCACAGGAAGCCTCCCAGATCCTGAAGATCGCCCTGAGGCAGATGGATGAGCATGGAAATGAGTGCCCCTTCTACAATGGCATGATCATCAGCCGGCATGGCGCCAGATGGCACACGACCTTGAACTGTTCAAGCCTGGCCGGAAGAGATGAAAGCCTGCAGCGACGAGTAGATTTCTGCCGCCTTTGTAGTTTAAGGGTGATTCCACCTGACCTTGTCGATGATCGGTCAGGCTCATCTGTGCGGACCTTGGTCTACCAATGGCTGGACCGGTTCGAACAGCGGAACTGGGGTGATGACGAAGGACTCTCCCCCATGTAAAGTTCACGCTGTGCACTTGTGTTTCGGCAGTTCGAACTGTTTTCGACCTTCACTTACCGTCGTTCCCTCTCAAGACTGGGAGGGCAGTTGCCTTGCAAAAGGCGCGGCCGCGGCGCTTCAGTGCGCCCTCTTGTTTTCGTGCTTGCGGACTTCGGGTGCCGCTGCTACCTTTTTCGCAAAAGCTTTTTAGTGTGTCTTTGAAGCTTTCTAGTAACTAGAAGCCACTACCCCCAAATGCTGATTCCCTTTTGACGCACTGCGGCACTGCCCTCACGGCACCAAGAAGCGCCATCAGCGCCCTTCAACATCCTCTGCCTCGCAGAGCGTCAAACGTTACCCCTCATCACAGAAGTTCCAAGTGGTCAGAAGGATGAGCTCCTCTACATGCCGCAAGTTGCAGGTTGGCAATTGGGAATGTCCAGCTTAGGAAACCAATGTGCTTCCATGGCTGCTTCCAAATCCATGCACAATCGCACAATGCCGTTTGCAAACTTCATATCTTCAACTATGCTCCTTGGCCCGTTTGTTCCGTGCGATACCTGTGCCAAGCGCTATCAGGCATTCCGGGCAGCACCAGACAAGTTGGAGATGTCATGCACACGTGATCATTCGGAATGGTGTCACCCATGCACCCTTGCTGAATTGATATGCACCATTCACACCTTCCCTCACACCATCTCCCGCTCGGATCGGCTCCGTTTCGTCCATCCGGATCGGCTCCCACACATGACAACCATTCTTCCCGTGCCGCACGTGAAGCTGGTGGTCGTTTTCTTGGTTCCGAGCAGTGTGCCTGTGAACTCCTTGGGGGATGCTACGGTCTCCCTAAGGGAGGCGCAAGATGTTAAAAGACCGTGGTCCGGCCAAGCTCATTGTTACTAGTAGCTACTTGCTCCTAGTAGTACGGCCAGGAGCCCCTAGTAGCGTCCTTGCTCCTAGTAGCGATGCCCTGTGCTCCTAGTCCATATATAAAGGGTTTGGCAAACACCTTTCTCTCGTGTGGCGGCCCCTTTTTCTCACACAGGCAAGCCCTCACGTGGAATCTTCTCATCCAGCCACTGCATCGCTCCCAAAAGCATGTCTTCAGGCACCACACTTTGCAAAAAGGACCATGTATTTGCGTTCCACCTGCAACGGCAAATGAAACCAACCATACAACGTTGGCAATGCAGAATGATGCATCAGACTAAAAAAACTATTGACCCGTGGGCTTAGGCTTTGGATATCCTCACATGCTTCTGCTTGCAGCCTGGCAAACTCACGCTCGAGAAGTTTGGTGAGAATGCGCTTCAGCTGCAATTGCAGGTGCTCCTGAGTAGCCGAGACAAGCAAATGTTTCATGAGAAAAAACATGTTCTAGTAGCTACTTGCTCCTAGTAGTACGGCCAGGAGCCCCTAGTAGCGTCCTTGTTCCTAGTCCCTTTGGATCACTTTTGCTAGCTTTAACCCGGGAGAAGGGACTGCACCAGAACCAGAGGGCTCAGAATGCACAAGCGATGCTGGTCAGTGCCCCCCGGAACGGAACCCGTCAACTTGACAACACGTTCTCAATCGCCCATGCCACGGTCAGCTCTGGGTCTAAGTCGGTCATGTTGCTTCCAGCGTCGGGACATAGAAGGCTACTGAAGGCTTCATAAACCAGTGATGCAATGGGTGTTCTCACACTCCCCTCCCTGCCTCCCTCCTTTCCTCCCTGCATCCCTGCCTTCGTTCGTGCCTCCTTCCCTCACTCCCTTCACTTCCCTTCTCCCTCTCTTCAATTCTCTCTCTCTCTCCAAATCTTCTGTCTCTTGGTTCGCATGTTCTGCCGGAAGTGACAAGTACCTACATCTAGTGATCATGAGAAACTCGGACATTGCCTGGCTCGCTTTCAGGTGTGCGCCGACTCCCATCTCGCCGCGGGCTCTTTTTCACTGGCCGCCTGATGTTGAACTAACTCACCAAACGAAAATCATAGAGGCAACCAAAAGGTCCAAAAGGTGAGACATGACCATCGCCATGTCAGCCAAAGACATGCGACAGGCGACCTTCGCTGAGTCCGACGGAGTCCGAGTGCTGAATGCCTGCTGCGACTTTTTGCAGCATGCTGAGCTCACAGGTCGTCCATATCAATGGACTCCTGCTTGCGTGATCCTGCCTTCCCTGGCTTTGAACTCCTCGCAGGTGTCGTGGTGGAAGTCGAGGGTGTCGAGTTGGCACCTTGAGGCGGTGGAGCCGGTGGAGGTGGACCAGGTGGGGGCTTGGGCGCTGACTGCGTCGACTGCCGCGCAGGCGGGGGCGGCATCTGGCCACGCCAGCTGCGGGAATCTCTCCTTTCTGAGCCTTGGGAGCCCATCATGGGCGGGATCATCATGGGGTTCCGCATGCCCATCATAGCCAATGGACTGTTCATCACCATTGATACTCCCATCATCTGAGCCCTCATCATCATAACCTCAGGGGTCATGCGCTTGGAGTTGAAGAACTCCCGGTACTTCTTCTCACGACGTCTCTTTTTTCGACGTCGAGAACGTGACTCAGAGAAACTGCTGTAGTAGTCAGACTCATTAGATGCATGGTCAGCGCGATCAGCGCGATCAGCACGATCAGCGCGGTCAGCGCGGTCCTCGTGTCTCATTTCTCGTCTCCCTCGTCTCGGCTCGAGCACCTCTCTCGATCGAGAGGCCACCCTGGCATCTTCAGAAACCATTCGAGCCCAGGGTGCCCGTTGAATCCTGTGGATGTTGCTCTCCACAAAAGTTGCCAACATCTCCTTGGGAGGAGCAGCACTCCCTCTAGACAATCTTGATGGTATGTTCTTCTTCCAGCAGAACTGTTCCCAAGCTTGTCGCCATTCTTCATCATCTGCATGCAAACCTCTACGAATGAGGCGCGACATTGAGGAGACATCATTGTAGTCAATGCTTATCTCAGTGGGCAAAGGCACGTTTGTGGGAGATGGAGTGCCAGTTGGGCTTCCCGTGTTCAGCGACTTTGGTGGAACTGCTGCTCCAGCTTTTGGCTTGGTGCCCACGGCTTTGTATGCCAATGCCGCTACCGCTTCAAATCTCAGTCGCACTAGGCCGGGTGGGCCTCCAAGATCAAAGGCATCCAAGCGAGACAAAAGCTTTTGAAGCGTTGTAGGTTGCAATGAATGCGGTGGACACTCGCGCAGACTGGGACGGCCCAAATCCCCTAATTCAAGGGCATGGGATTTCAGAAACTCCAACAAGGCACGAGCTAATGGGCATCCAGACATGGGCCATTCTCGAAGTTGTATTTGCAAGGCAACCTTCGCCTTGCCATCATCACTTGGCGCTGTAGTAGATCTCTTCACCGCTGAGACCAAGGATACTTGCAAATCATCTCGCATCTTATCTGCTGCACGCTGTGCTGCCAACGAGAGCGTTGCATTGTAACATTGTAGGCGCCCTTCATGCCAGGTCTCCAAAATGTTTCCCAAGCCAGGCAGCACAAAAAGCTGCTTCTCAATCTTTCTCACCAAAGAAGTGAGATCGGGAATCTGATCTAACCATGACTTGACCAATGGGCTCTTTTGAAGAACCGCTCTAACAAAGCTAGCCACTGCCATCAAGAACTTGGCTTTTACCCTGGACTTGCGGCATTGACGATACCAGCGGAGCTGGGGAGAGGCTTCAATCTCACGAAGCAGCTCCAAGAGCTCTGAAGTTGTCTGAAGAGTGTTTGAACTGTTTGGAGATCCCGCATCACTGAGCCAATCATTGATTTCATTGGTCCACTCTGCCAGGCGTCGGGAGACTTCAGCCCTCAGTGGACGGAAGGCAGCAACAATCTTCTCTTGAGCTTCTGAAGGCAATTTCACCAAAACCTCCTCCAGCCTTAGAAAGATAGGTGCCTCAGCTTCATAGCTGGCATCGTCCTCTTCCTGCTCTTCTTCCGGCCATCTCTTGGCCAGGTCGCACAAGTCCTCCGTGAGCGTGTGCGCCTCATTGCTGCTGAGCACCTCGACACTCCGCGAGCTCCGCTCCAAGCGCAACACCGCGGCGTTCAACAACTCACAGCGCTCTCTCATGGCGCTTCGGGGCGCCAGACGCTTTGAAGCGTCAAGTTAGCTCGATGGGAGGCGTCCTCCACCGAGTCCTGTGATGGCCTTTCTGAGGCCTTGAGCCGTCGAACATGTATCACATGGTTCAATTAGCTACTAGGACTAGCAGCTTCTTGTTACTAGTAGCAGTACCGATGGCCTCCAACCTACTAGCGATGGCCTCCAACCCAATTCGTAGCTTCTTGCAATCATCACAGAAAATGTATCATCACATGGTTCATGCGCATGACATAATGTGCCCAAGTCGGACTGAAAGTGGCTCACACAAGCTCTAATATGCCGATATATGCCGTAAGTTCACACAGAAACAACGCAAATATGCTTCCCGAATCCTCCCAGCTCTCAAAGCTCGATCTTTGCTGGTTTTGTGCAGAACCCAAACGCCTTGGACTGCCGTCCTTGCCGATGGACAGTCCTGGAGGGTGCTCTGGAAGATGGAGAGGATGGCAGACACTGCAATCCTGCGGCTAGGCCGCCAAAGAATAGGATAGTAGCTTCTTGTTCCTAGTAGTAATGGCCTCCTAGCTTCTTATTAGACACATACAGGCGATGAACTGACAAACATGTCGGCCACTTCTGTACGCAGTGCAAGTTCAAAGACAGCTAAGTTTCCCTAAATCACTAGTGCGAGCGCTTCTTCAAGGAAGCTGTCCCCGCCCTCAGGCGGGGTGAGCTTTCTTGAAATAGCGTGAGCTATCCTGGGTCCTAGCTAGTACGTAGTTTCCTAGCAGCTTGCTTCTCAACTTATATAACTATACTATGGGTATTCCCCTACTATCCCCACTTAATTATTAAGTAGGAGCAGGCTAAAGAAAAAGCAATGAGAGAAACAAATGGAGTGCCAAGAGTGCTGGCGTCCTTGAGAGCAATGTCGCGTCACCTGTGTCCATTGTCTCCACACACTGTCCCGACTATCCATCGACTATCCCCTATCATGGAGCGAGCCCTTTGGGGAAGCCCACTCAATCACAACTTTGGCTTTCGTAATCTTGGTCGTTCAGCTGCTCGACGATGAATTCAGCATACTAATCCGATATGTAGACAGCATGAATCACAAGAAGTGCTAGGCATTGCAGTCCAGCAAGCAAGTTGCCGACAAGAATCTACTATTCCAAGTGCTGTTATCATCAATCTGGCAAGTCATTCAATGTTAAATGTTGGGGCACGTCCACAACACAGATTGAAAACAAAGTCACGTCATGCTAATTAATAATGATTCCTTGCCAAGTGGCTCAATTTGATCTCCAGTTCGGGCACACTAACGCCAAGGCCATCCAGTTTAAGACCAGCATGCCCCAAGACAAATGCAGTGGACATTTTCAGCTCACGGACCGTGACCTCCGCCAAGTCCCGAAGGACTCGATTCGTGGCACTGCCTCCTTACCTTAAAAGGCCTCCCCAAAAAAATCAAAATAAGAAAACGATTAGCGATGGCCTCCAACCCAATAGCCATAGCATAAAAACGACGTAATTAAAAACGTTAAGTAGGCGCCTACTTAAAAATTGAGTAAGCTCCTAGCTACTAAAGCTTCTAGCTAGGACGCAGGATAGCTCACGCACCAATGATTCTTTCCTAGATTTTTGGTGAAACTTAGCGCAATACCTGCAATTAAGTTACTTTCAAATAAAAACTATACTACTATCCAACAAGATCCAACAAGATTGGGGGAGCAGCACAGCTTTGCTGCGCTTGTTGTGTGAAGAACCATAGAAGTTTGTGGATTGTGATTGTGATTGTCTTTTTCTCACTGCTATATTCTGACTGACAGAATACAAACTAAATGCTGCCCAAGTTGGTGCAGAAAACTGAAGGGCTTGGGTTTTTCCCCTCGGTTGTTGTATCTTTGAACTGAACACCGCCAACACTGCAAGAATGGTGCAGTATCTAAAAGCAAAGTGCAAGAATATCCTTTCGGAACAGTTTGCTGGAGCATGAAAAGACCCCTAGCGGCCCTAGCAGTTCTCACATTCGTGTGGCTCCCTTGCATGGACCCCGTGTCTCAGCATGTCGCAGCTAGCAGCCAGTCACTAGTCGGGATCAGATTCATGTCAAATTGCCTTTCGCTGAAGCATGCTGAAGCTGACGCGCCTGGGCGGCAGCAGCCAGGCTCATGTAAGGGAAGCTTGCCAAGTCTGCTTCGCACGCGCATGAGAGCTGCAACTTCAAGGGCTTCATCAACAACAACAGCCTCAAAGCACCCAGCGAGGCACTTCGGTCATTGCACGCTTCTGTTGGGAGTGCATGGAAGCACGAAACTGTGTCTTGACTTGGCCAGTGTGCGTCTGCTGCTGTAGCCACTTGTGCTCTTTCACGGTTCGTTGCGCACATCTTTCCAAGCAAACATGCCAGGTGGCGTGCCAGGTGGCGTGCCCCGCTTCAGCGTGCAAGTGGACCTTCAACAAGAATTCTGCAAGTGAATCAATGCTTCGAATGCTTGTAGGTGGAGTAGCATCCGAGCACTCCTAGTAGGGCCAGCCCCCGTTCGTCACGTCCGATCGCTGCCCACGGTCCGCTGGCTCGCCTGCGTAGGTCGAACCAGGCGACGCGCAACTCTCGCAGAGCGAAGCGCTGCAGCTGCTCCGTGGAACCCAAGACGTCGTCGAAGGGAGCGCCGCAAAGGCGGCGCTGGACCACTTGCCTCGGTCGTGCCTGAGGAGTCCTATTTGGAAAGAAAAGGAGGAAAAACACTGCGACCATCTGACCCCTCCTAGTTTCTTTGTTTAATTGAATCTCTTGTGACTGTCCAGTTGAACATCTGTGACTCACTCATATATAGTATGGACGTGATGTATTGTCTTGACAGGCGTTAAGACAAGGCAGCTGGCTGCAAGGGTAGGGGCCCTTTGTGGGGCTTTGTTGGCTTTAGCTGTTAGCGCCACCCGAACATTGGCCGGAACAATCCATACCGCAAATGGGCTTTCCAAAGTACAGTAGCGGCGACTGCTCCATGAAGGCCAAGCTCCTACGTCTTGGACACAAAAAGAACGGAAGAAAGTCTTGGCCCTCTCCATTAGTATACAGTATACAGTTTAAGTCAAGTACATGGCAACCATGGCAGTTTGCCAAAGACTGAATCACAGCACATGACAATGAACATGATAATAACTCTCTGTCTGAGTGATTAAACATTTCACGGAAACTTGCGCTGATGGGTCCGGGTTTGCCATCCTCCGCAATGGACCGGACTGGAGCACTGGCACCAGCCTAGGGTCAACATGCGATGCCGACATGCGGTGTCAACCGTCATCGAAATGCACTCTTGGCCCTGGCCCTTCCAAATCCCTAGACCCTACAGCGGGACGCCTTGATCAGTTGGTTTTGGTTGGCCAGATATTGATAGGATCAAAACACGCCAGCGCAAGTCTTCTTGTTACTACTAGTAAGGCACTTGTTACTAGAAGCAAGTCTTCTGCTAGGACATATATGACACTGCAACCCGCCAGTCCACCAGGGTCCATACTCGGAGGGGTCAGACGGGCCAGCAAAAGCTCCAGCCAATCGAGCTCCTCGCAAAGTCTGCCCACTGCAGTGCTAGAGATATCGCATATGTATATATATATCTAATATATGTGATCCTCTTCTTCTCCTTCTGTTTCATTCAGTTCATTGAAGCTCTCAGTACATCAGCATCCCTCCTGGATTCTAATTACTATGGTGTTGAGTGTGTGCTCTTTCCTTCTCCGAGCATCTACAGTAAGCATCTTACAGCTGCAGAAGGCACCCCCCACCCCCCACCCAACCCGCTCATCAGTTTGCGTGGCAGAAGTGTGCTCTGAAAGGCGATCAATACATGTGTTTGTGTATGTAAAGATGTCGACCGTGTCCAATCTGGCAACCCTTTCAGCACTTCAGAGTCACACTGTCTGGTTGCTGACTGCAACCCACCCCACATCAGCAGGCCTTCAGCGTCGCTCTCAGCTGCTGCCAAAAGAGCCGGATCAATGAAATAGGCCTCATCACATCCGATTTCGGAAAACGCTACGTTCGAGGGACGCAAAACTGCTGGAAACCACGGTGGTGGGAACTTCTGCCTGCAGAAGCACTCGAAGAAGCCGAGCAAAAGTACGAATCTCCAAGCTATCCGAGTGATCTGGATTCACCACCGCATCCTCCGCGCTCCGGGTCTCTACTTTGCATTGGCTGTGCATGCTGTCTGTGACAAATGACCAACGTTGAAGCCAGAGTCGCAGTAACGTTTTGACCTGCAGGTTCCGTTTCAAGGGGCAGAAGGGAGGCTCCAGCAACACTCTTCTTGCGCACAAAACAGTGGTGCCGCTCCTTGGGCCTAGAGGGCTTTGACTCAATCAGGATGTCGAGCATCGAAAGCAGAAAGCGATCAACAGTGGATCCGCCAGGTGGCCGCACCTGAGATGCGGAGATTCATCCATTCGGCTCGTTGCGGACATAAAGACAAAATAGCAAACAAAGAAAAGCTAAATCTGAGCGTTTGAGGATGTTTGAGGACTTCATGGGGACACTTTCTTTGTATTGGTGGAGGGGACCTAGGCCGCTCGCAGGGGACGAGTGGTAACAAGCATGGTAATTCTATGAAGGCGTAGCTACACGCACCTAGACGCAAAGCATGAGTGCCCCAAGGAAGGGCCAGCTTTCTGTTCTGTCTTGTATCTAGTCATTTACTGTTTCTAGTGTTTCTCTTTTCTTTTGCCCTCTCAACCTCCATCCGGTTTTGAGGGAAATGACTTTGATCATTCGTGAGATGGTCAAACCAGTGCCTACTTACTTGTGAACTTAGGCCTATCAGCACGTGTGCCCAGCACATTCTTGACGGCTGACTTCCAAGGGCCACTTGGGCCACTTGCCAAAAACAACATGCAATTTCACAAACTTGGAAAACAGCGAACAAACTGGAAGAAATCTCAAGAAGGTCTCAGTATCTGAATGGTTTTGACTTTGACTCGTCGTCTATTCCAAGGGTAGGGTTGAAGTACCTTGCCCTTTGCTTGGTGCAAGCAAGCAACTGAACAGGAGCAGTGCAACGCTTTGGCAAACAGCCCTTTGTGGTCCTCTCGGGGGATGCACGACCAAGCACCTCACTCCCGGTACCAAGAACCGCAAGAATGTCTTGATCTACTGGCGTCTAGAGATTTAGACTGTGTCTTCCTTGGCAGGTGTAGCGATGGCCTCCCACCTACTAGCTTCTAGTTCCGTAGCGATGGCCTCCAATGCCATTCCATGTCTATATAAGCCCGCAACCATCTTCAGGCCGAAGATAAAGAGCACGCGCGTCCGGCCTCGCCCAGGCCAGGTGGCCAAGCAAACCGGCCAAGCCGTTTTTTCCCGAAAAGCCACGTTGACGGGTGTGGCCATATCTGGCCTGCATGTGTTCGCACTCTTCTGCTTCTGTTCGCGAGGCGAACCTCGGTAGCTTCTCCGATCAGGTTGGACATCCATCATACTTCAGGTATGCAAAAAGCACAGGTCACATTTGCTCAGACTAGATTTGCTTAGCCTTTCGAGGGCCGTGCTTTGCAAGTTTTGAAGGCTGCATTGCAGTGCCGCACCAATGAGCAAACTAGCAAGGGTCATCCTGGCATGAGATTTTGAGCATGATAATTGATATGATACCAGCGGCTGTGCTTCTCTTAATTAGGTACAGCAGCTTGTCAAAAAGACTACTTACTACTCCTAGTTGACCACCTCAGGGAAGGAATGTCGGTGAAAACATGCTTTGAAGCACCTCTCCGACGCTTTGGTTGCTTCATCCACTCCATCAACCTCCCGCTCTCCAGGGTACAATTCTCCCAGGAGCACCTGCTCGCGGGGTTGTATGACGCTTCCGGCGTTCGGTGAATGTCGCTGTGAAGACTTACAGCAAAATATAAAAATGGCAAGAGTCTTTCAAGGAAAAGGAAGAAGGAAGGTGACAAAGAGGGAAAGGAGGAGGGACTCCGGGAGAGACTGGAAGAATGAAACGTTTCGCACCATACAATCTGCAAGCACATCTTCACCACACGCATCCCAAGCAGCATTGAAGTTTGCCTCGGACATTCCAAGGTGTTGCACAAGCTATGGTTAGTCGCGTTCTTGATCCTAGTAGCGATGCCAGGAGCCCCTAGTAGCGTCCTTGCTACTAGTAGTAGGGCCAGGAGCCCCTAGTAGCGTCCTTGCTCCTAGTAGCGATGCCCTTTGCTACTACGTCGTAGCTTCTTGTCACTATATAAATGTTTGTTTCTTGTTTAAAGGCCGCTAAGCCAGCTACAGAGGAATAGCTAGTCAACAAACAGGTTCACTGACTCACTATGTAGATGATTCCCGAGCTCCTACGCTGCCAAGGAACCACCCAAGCCTGCCGAGGCATGCGGGATCAAAAAGGTGGCCGGTCAAACCATCCTCTCACTCAAAAGTCCTTTTCACCAAAAGTCATGCAAAAAAAAACTAGAGAACAAAATGCAAAAGAACACACATGAAAAGAGCACCAAACAACAGAACATTGAAACGAAACACAAACTCGCCAGTCTTTTTCAACATTTAGACGACCAAACAGGTGCGGCGTCCAGCCACCGAAGGAGTTTGCCGAGCCTGGCCATCTCCTTGACAGTTTTGCAGCAAGGTCGCCACAGATCGGGCACCTGGCCGTCAGGCCGTTTGCTCAAGATCCTTCAGGAATCACAAACCCAAAACAAACTACCAACCCAGTGTGATAAACTAAACTCCAGATGTGACTCATGATTTGAAGAGTCGAGTAGTCGAGTATGTTCGAGTTCTAGAAGTAGGTCAAAGCCAGTTCATTGTTCCGCTGGAACGCTCTGGAAACAAACTCTTGTCTCAATTGAACCATTCTCAAGGGTGGACGCGCTCAAGTCTCAAGTGTTTTGAAAAGCCGTTGCCTCATGTTGTTTCTAATTTTCAATCACTTCTTTCTATTGGCTAAGATCCATTGTTTTAGATTGTTCGAATCCTTTAGACATGTTTGGACCTTTCTGACAGCTCCTTTCTTTGCTCCTTGCCCTTTCTGTTTCTATTTATATATTTCCTTTTCCTTCTTGTGTCAGAACCTTTCGCTTCGCCTTTCGCACCTGCAAGCCGGACCAGAAACTTCACTGCCAGCGGCGGCCCCGCAGACCGCCCTTCACCGGGCTGCGTGCGCTGGAGCAAGTGCCGCATCAGCAAAGAGAAATGCACATACCTCAAGACGTGCATCGAAGAACACATGCGTGACCACAGAAACAAATCGGGGTGTCTCCGAGAGGGTATCATTCGTACCACGCATACATTTATACAAAAAACATCAATTTTAACAAACCAACAAAAGAACAAAAGGAAAGCCAGGAGTTTGGATGTGGATTCTGACTTGGCCGAGCATTCTTTCGGAGAGTTTTTTGCCGCTCTTTGCCCTTTTATTCTGGGAAGCACCTGAAAACCACTCTCAACAAGGTGCGCCAAAGGCATACCCTCCACCGCCGTTGGACAGGCAGGCTTCGAGCGCACAAAGAACACTTGCCTCAGCCAACTGTAAGATTTAAAACAAGATAGTCAGCCAGACCATGAGAAGTTGATTAAGAAAAAAAGTAAGAGTGGAAGCAAGCTCAGGTCTCAATAAAATAACACGGAACAAAAGGAAAATAGATCTCAACGGTTCAAACAAAAACAAGAGAAACCTGTATTGAAATGCTCAGTATCGCCTGTAGAGATTAAATGTTGAGGCAACTCCACAAAGGACGCTACTAGTAACAAGGGCATCACTAGTAGCTAGAAGCTACTACGGGCTCCTGGCCTTACTACTAGGAGCAAGGACGCTACTAGGGGCTCCTTGCATCGCTACTAGTAGCTAGAAGCTACGAATGTAGCTCCTCTTCGGAATCACTGGACTCATCTCCCAGCAGCACAAGGAAGATCAAAAGCGTGCACGGCAAGGGCGGTGGCACGGGGTTCGATGCCAGGACAAAGCTTCGAAAGCCTGGTCTCAAGCCAAGCTTCACAAAGTGCAAAGTGATGAAAAACAGCTTAGGAAGTCAGGAATGAGCCATTAATAGGTTGGAGGCCATCGCTACTAGGTTGGAGGCCATCCGTAGTATGTTGGATGAACAGAAGCTCAAGGATTGAGCCCCTAGTAGCGTCCGTGCTCCTAGTAGTAAGGCCAGGAGCCCCTAGTAGCTTCTTGTTCGCAATATCCAGAAGCAAATGTTGAGACATTCTGGACATGTTGTCCGGGCGCACACACCTTAGGCAGGAAGACGACGAAACCGACGGTCTGCCTGCACCGAAATCCAGCAGCTGCCGCCAGTGAGATGCTTGCAAAGGCAATAGCGCTTCAACAACTTCCTGCCATCTTCCTTTGAGATAGACCTCGTACATCCTCATGTGCTGAACTTGAGATGGTCCAACCACAAACAGGCCAACAAATTAGAGTCCGTTCTGCTCAATTCTCAAAATTCATCAAACCTCTGATGTCCTGCACACTCAACCAGCTGACTTCCCCTCAAACCTTGTTCAGGAACATAAAATGTTCCAGGTCGGGGAGATATTGAGGGCAAATATTGAAAGAGTTTCACTGATCTTTGACGAGCTTCTGACGAACTGCCTTCTGCCAGAAGGAAGATGCACTCTCCCCTGTTGCCAACACAAGTGTCCCATCACTCCCACCCCCCAGCTTTCGGTGCATGTCATATTCACAGCCCTTACTAGTAGCAGTGCTCACGAAAGACAACCATCGAAACCAAACCTGATGAGGTCTCCGTTCGAACGCTCAGACTCAGTGGCATCGCTCCGTCTCGGCTCCTTCTTGGGTGGCATCGCCGCCGCTGTGCGCCTCTGATGGCCCCACCTCGCATGGGAACATCATGGAGGAAGACAGGGCCGAAGAGGACACCCAACTACTTCTCATGTGCCTCTCAGGAAGACATTGAAATAACTATTGACATACGTGACTTAGCAACACCCTTCCATTTCTGATAGATATACGGACATGGCGCAGAACATTTAGGCCTTGGTTCTGGCACCACTTAGTTGTTTCGACACCTCACGGCTGAAACAAAGCCTAGGCCACCTGTGAGAGGTGGCATCTTGTAGCCCCAGTCCGTCATAATATGGTTTCATGTTCGATGAAATTGAAAGCTCAGACTGCCAAGTCCGGAGCAAAAAAACTGGTCCAGCCTTGCTGCTGGTTGCAGGCTCAGGTTCTTTTGGCTCCTGAAGGCGACCCTACGCTGAGAATAGAAGACACAAAATGAGCACCGGCCAATCACAAACAGACATTCAGATTACTGTGTCCTTGTTTCTTCTGACCTTTAGACCCTTTGTTACTAGTAACAGGTGCCACGCTAGTAGTAACAGGTGCCTGACTACTAGTAACAAGAAGCTAGTAGTAACAAGTGCCTCACTAGTAGTAACAAGAAGCCAAACATTCCTTTCTGACCTTTAGACCCTTTGTTACTAGTAGCGTCCTTGCTCCTAGTAGCGATGCCAGGAGCCCCTAGTAGCGTCCTTGTTACTACTAGTAAGGCACTTGTTACTAGAAGCGATGCACTTGTTCCTGGTACAGACCTTAATAAGAACCAAATGAATAGCGTGAGCTATCCTGCGTCCAGTTCCTAGTAGCGTACTGGTAAGGTACTAGCTACCTCTCCCTTACTCAATCAAGTAAGCGGCTGCCGCTTAAGTAGGGAGGGGGGAGCGAGCTAAAAGAACAAAAGGAACAAAAAAACGGATATATACAATTCAACAAGATTATATATCACTTTCAGGGGGGCGGCCTATCACTTTTTCAGGCCCCACACTTTCATCATAGCTGAAGATATCGAACAACTGCGTCGACATGGTTATTGCTGTTGAGGGGGTTGGCCCTTACAGCTTGTTACTTCTCCTTTTTTGCCTTTTCGGGGCAACCAAATACAGGAGCACGCACTACTCTGCGCTCTTTCTTTCAGATGCTGAGGTCTCGGGTGCCTTCCAAACGACACCAACTGCCGGTGCCTCTGTGCTTCGAGGGCTTCGAGGGCTTCTGAGGCTCGGTGTAGGACTGGTTGTCCTCACAGCTGACCATTCAATCCTTGTTACTACTAGCTTCTTGCTCCTAGTAGGAAGGCCAGACCCTAGTAGCGTCCGATCGCTCCTAGTAGCGATGCCCTTGTTACTAGTAGCTTCTTGAATTTACAGGTGTTTCAAGTCACAGGCTTCTTTCATTGTCTGTTCTTAGTGAATGTCCTCGGAACCTTCGGAGTCTGTCCCACGGTAACTTCCGGCCTTGGCCAAAATAGAAGCCGCAGCATAAAACGGCCACGACATGCAACGGCAAACCGCTTGGGCTAGGTGGCAAAGCATGGCAAAGCTAGCTGCTCGTATCTAAGCATCCTTAGGTCCTTCCTTCTGCCGAGCTGCTGCGGGGGTGGGCTGATGACCACAGGTGGTGGCAATGCACCGAGCTGCAAAGGCACATGCCGCATGCCATGGGAGCGGAGCGCCAAAGCGATCACACATCTCAGGGTGCTCAGGGTGCTCACGTTGGTGTATCCAGTATTCACTCACTTGGACGGAACAAAGTAGCGACGGCCTCCAACCTAAGAGCGATGGCCTCCAACCTAGGTTCAGGTTAGCCATTGTTTCCATCTGATTGGTTCTGATTGAATAGATTTACGAAACATCCTGTCGCGCCAGCCCGGTTGTCACGACACAGCACACATTGGCACATGATCGTGCCACATGCTGACAACACACGTTGCCCAAACCACTGTTGTCATGTTGTCAACATGTGCCTACTCCGATGATGGTAATTGGTTGGGTTTGGTTGGCATACCAAGCTTTGGTGAACCTTGGGCGACAAACTGCAAAGTCCGCGCGACCAACTCCAAAGGCTGCCCCACCGGTGGCTCGTGCCCCCAAAAAGCCGAAAGCAGTCCGAGACCTTCGTTCCACAGCCCTGTCTTAACTCATCCTGTCTCATATGTCTCGAATTCTGTCTAAGCACATCGGGCAGCACGTCTCCCTTTTCTCCGCCTTCGCTTCGCAGCCTCTGTGAGCTTGGTCCACCGAGCCGCCTCTGTGAGCTTGTCGCAGACTTCGAGCGCCATCTGTCGTGCCAAAGCGCACCATCTGTCGTCCCAAAAGTTCCGTGTCAAAAGCCGGTCAAATGTCCACCAAAACGTAGCACTCAAAGGGGTGATCCACAATCTCAGGATGAGCTTCTTCTTGTTCCTTGGGTGGAGATAGTCTCACCACGTCTCACCACTAACTCCCAAACATGCATCCACTAATGTTCCTTGGGTGACACTATCTCAACTTATCTGTGCTCAACTCTTCCTCTCCATGCAGCCCAAGTGCTCGTTTTTGAATGCCCTGCTCACTAGCCACCGTGGTAGGAGTTAAAATCTTCATTTGGTGCATGGTGATCGCCTGCAGATTAACGCCTTCAAATGCGAACGTCATGATTCAGCTGTCGCCCTGGGGAACAAACTCCCAAGGGTCGGGCCTTTTGGGGGGTTGATCTGATTCTGCAGCAGCCTATGCCGATCAGCTGGGTGCCTCCCGCCTTGATCTCTGTACCTTGTGGATGCTTTTGAAGATCAAATTTCCTTAGGTCAACAGCAATGGAATACCAAACACCCTACCATGAAGTGGAGCTTCGGGCAGGCTCTGACGGCTCACCTAGCTCACGGCTCTGGCGCCTCTTCTATCTTCTAGCCGCTTCTTTTGGGGGGAGGCAGTGGGAGGCCAGATGGGCTCCATATCCACTGTGGCTGGTATGTAGTAGAAGCCAAAAACCAAAAATTGAATCTTCTGCTCTCTGTAACTGAGTCGTGCCAAATGTGCCAGGTCTCTCACCATAACCTCGTGCAGTTGCTCGAAGGTTTGCTTCGTCCAAATCGACCTCCACACGCCGACAGATTATAAACTCGGTGCTGAAGTTGAAGAGAAACCTTGATGGGTCGCAGCTCGCTCTGCGTTCGGCCATCAAGCCCTTCCCAATCAAGTTGTAGTTGTTAAATCATATGCAAATGATAAAAACTATATATAAAATTGTAATTATGATTAATAACTTTGGTTAAAATGATCATCTTATGGTTTTTCCCGTTGCACCAATCCTGGAGAGGCGGCGTCTTTCACTCACGAGGAGACGGATGAGTTTTAGGCCACAGGGTGGAATGTGGGGTGGACGTGCCTATGCCTTGATTTCGGCGTTTGCTCCGCCCATGTACCGGTTCAAGTCGGCTCATATTTGAGGAACAATCTTCTACCTCTGTGGGCTCTTTTTAGCCCTTGATGGCCCTTGATGCTTCTCGCAGTTGTCAACGCAATTGCAACGCCTTAAGCCTGCGACAAGAGACTAGGTGCGCTATGAGTAAGAGTTGCCACCCAAAGCTCTCTTTTCGGTCTTTTCAGGGTGTTGCATTGTGTTCTTCCGGCTCATGCGGTTGTACATTCGAAAGACTGCAAGTGACATAATTCTGTCGTGGGAAACAATGACCAAGTTCTGAACCTGAGCAAAGTTCAAACATGTTCAAACCAAGTGATCCACCTGAATTCATTTTGGGGCCTCTGGCTGGGCAACATCTTTTGAGATTTTTTGTGCAGGATGTAGTGAAGACCAAGTAGTAGTCTCAGTAGTGAGGTGCAAGGCAGCACACAATTGAGAAAGTGCTCTTATCAAAATAGGTTGGAGGCCATTGATATTAGGTTGGAGGCCATCCAGGCCTGCAGGCTTATAGCTTTCTTCCTGGATACGTAGTGGGTAGACGGGTAGACATGGCACCAAAGAAAATCCGTTCAAAAAACACTCGTAGTGGGCGGTCGCGGCTAGGTCATATCATAGCCGTGGCGGCCAACGCGTCTCTAATTACAGTATAACTCTCTATGATCTAACTTGCTACTAGTAGCTTCTTGTTACTACTAGTAAGGCACTTGTTACTAGAAGCGATGCACTTGTTACTATGCTCTTTTCATGCGAGTCACTCGTCAAGGAGATGATAAAGAAGGTCGGTTAGGTCATGTCCAGTTGCCTGAATGTCGACTGATGTGACCATGCTCACTGTGTCCAGGTCTGTCAAATACGAGAAAAAACATACCTGATCAGCACGGAAGCAAGGTGCGGAAGACATGCGCTTGTATTTTTTGGAAAACCTTGCCCTGCCAATTCGCCAAAGCTACGCAGCACTGCTCAAAGGCTTGTGACAACGTTTTGCCCCAAGAGTGTAGGATCACATCTGCGGTGTGATCCTACATGGAGCAGGAGTCAGTCATTAAACCGCAGTAAGCACTGCTCATTTCTTCACTCTTTTGCTTGAACCAGGTACGGTTGGATGCAGTTTCCTTCAAAGTCCATGTCGTTTTGGATGCAGTTGGAGAGGTATGGAGGCCGCATGGAGGCCAACGGCGCAGACAAGCTTCCAAGTACTCATAGAGGCGAAGCTCTTCCGTCGAAGGGATGGCTACTGCCATCACAGGTTGCTCAATGTGAGTCTCGTCTACGACTTCTGTGACCACAACCTTTCCGGCCTGAAGAAATGCCACATGTTACATGCATGTTACATGCATGTTGGACGTGCACAAGTCTTTCATGCCAATTTCAGTGGGCACAATGGCAATAATGATGGAAATAGGAAACATTGCACATGTGTGGACAGTAACTAATAATATCAAGGGCATTACTACTAGTAGCAAGAAGCTACTAGTAACAAGGGCATTACTACTGGGTCAACTAGTTAAACACGTGGCAGCGGACTGCCTTCTCTCCCTCGGCTGCATCAGGCGCTTTGCGGCGACGGCGATGGCGAGCAGGCAAGGAGTGCAGCACCAAACCCTCCACCTTCGACAGCTCAGCACCGGAAGGAATGGAATCGGAATCGTCACCTACTGGCTGTCACACAATCTTACACACACTGCAAGGCTACGTGGCGCTTGACCCCTTAGCATCATCATTGAAATCTAGATAGAATAGAGAGAATAGAATAGAATAGATTAGATTAGATTAGATTTAGTAGATATCATTGGATCACATAAGGTATCGCTTTATAACTACCTTCTTTGAATGTTCCAGGAAAACCTTAGCCCTAAAGTTTTCCTATTGCA